ATGGTAAACCGTGATTTTGTGAGAAGGATCCAAACAACGGAAGTTAAAGAAGCTCTGAGGAAGATGGGACAGAAAAGAGCAATGGGGCTAGATGGCATACCGATCGAGGCTTGGAGAAGTTTGGGAGAGAGAGGCGTCGAGTGGTTAACAAGTTTCTTCAACATGATTTGGAGAAACAACAAGATGCCAACGAGTTGGAGGAAGAGTACTCTTATCCCCTTATTTAAGAATAAAGGTGATGTACAAGAATGTGCCAACTATCGAGGGATTAAGCTTATGAGTCACACCATGAAACTTTGGGAGCGAGTGATTGAGCAAAGACTTCGAAGGACTGTGAAGATTTCAGAGAATCAATTCGGTTTTATGCCTGGTCGCTCAACAACTGAGGCCATTCACCTTCTTCGGCAACTTATGGAGAAGTATAGAGATGCCCATAAGGATCTGCATTTGGTGTTCATTGACTTAGAAAAGGCATATGATAGGGCACCTCGAGAAGTTCTTTGGTGGGCCTTAACTAGGAAAGGCATATCACGCAAGTATATCAGCATCATCATGGATATGTATGAGGATTGTACTACAAGTGTTCGTACTAGTGCAGGGAGGAATCAAGAGTTCCCTATTACTATCGGAGTGCACCAAGAATCGGCTTTGAGTCCTTTCTTATTTACCACAGTCATGGATGAACTTACGAAGTCAATTCAAGACGATATACCGTGGTGCATGATGTTTGCCGACGATATTGTATTGATTGATGAGACACAATCAGGTCTTAAAGCAAGGTTGGAAGTATGGCGACAAACATTGGAGAATAAGGGTTTCAAACTAAGTCGGAGCAAGACAGAGTACATGGAGTGCAAGTTTGGTGGATGTAGAAGTAGTGGTAATAGCGGAATTACTCTGGATGGTAAGGAGATACGAGTCAGCGATATGTTCCGTTACTTGGGCTCCATAATTCAGAAGGACGGTGAGTTAGATGGAGATGTATCTCATAGAATCAGAACAGGGTGGATGAAGTGGAAGAGTGCGTCAGGATTTCTATGCGACCGAGGTATGCCGACTAGACTGAAGGGTAAATTTTATAGGACACCAATTAGGTCTGCATTACTGTATGGCGTAGAGTGTTGGGCGGTGAAACAATGTCACATTCATAAGATGAGTGTGGCAGAGATGCGCATGCTGCGTTGGATGTGTGGGCATACTAGGAAGGACCGCGTGAGGAATGAGACAATCAGACAAAGGGTGGGAGTAGCACCTATTGAAGACAAGATGCGGGAGTCGCGTCTACGGTGGTTTGGTCATGTGCGTAGAAGACCGAGTGATGCACCTGTTAGGCGAGTTGAGATGTGTGGACAAGAGGCAGGGAAGAGAGGGAGAGGAAGACCCAAACAGACGTGGGTTAGGGGAGTTCGAAGTGATATGCTTTTTCTGGGGTTGGATGAGGGCATGACTTTGGAGAGAACTAAGTGGAGGGCGGGTATTCACGTGAAGAAGTGATCTTGATAATCTTTTTCCCTCATCTTTTTTTTCCTAGTTTTTTTTCCTTATATATATAAGCATTATTTGCGGCCTTTTTATTTTATCATTTATATATATATTCATCTTTTTTGTATATTATCTTTTCATAATAGCTTATCTTTGTATCTTTATTCCTTCTTTTCCTTTTGGTTGTGATATCATGTATCGATTCATGTTAGCCGACCCCAATATCTTTTGGGACTAAGGCTTGGATGTTGTTGTTGTTGTTGTATTGAATGTTACACATGGGTGGCCCCGGTGCTTTTAGCAGATAAGTTAAGAGCTCATTCGATCATCCATATTTTCAACTTATCCTTCTTATCAATCAATTATTTATCAAACGCATAACTATTGATTTCATTCAATTATGTAATAATAAAAATGAGTAAGGTTTGAATAATTTTTTGACTAAATTGACTGAAATTACCATAAAAGATCTTTTTAGTTATTTTCTCATAAATTTTTTCTTTATTCTACTAATTAAATATATTTTGAACATAACTTTTTTACGTTTCAGCTTCAACCAAAATTTTATCAATCTAACTGATACAAACCATTTAGAGCCCGTTTGGTACCACGAAAATCGGCTGATTTGGCTGATTCTGCTGAAATTTATGAAGTTCTGGCTGAAGTAACTGCATTGGCTGATTCTTCTGATTTAAGAAAAAAATAATTTTAAAATATAGTATATTAATAAAATAATGAAAAAATTATATGTAAAATAGCTAAAATGGTCATCTACAGTAACTTCAGCCAATACAGCCAGAAAAGTAACTCAAACCTTACTTTTTCTGGTTATTAGACAATTCAGCGCGCGAAAACAAAAATTACGTTTGTTGAAAAAGTTAGCTAATAAACCTGATAAGCCGAAAAATAGTGTTGCCAAACGGCCTCATAGGTTGCTAGCTTGATTAATTGGTCGGTTCAGAATACTCTTAGGTGCCTACTGAAAATAACAGGTGCTTATCATGCAATACGAGTGGTGGAAGCTAGTGGAAAATAAGTATAAGTATAGAGAACAGTAACTAAAGCTCGGTTTGTATCCCCAGTCCCAGGCAGCTCGAGTGGAATAGAGGATATAAAAGTCAATCTACTCCCGCAAAGAAGCTAAAGTCAATGACAGAGTTTTTATAAGATATACGGAGTATATTCTTCTTTATTGCAATTTATAATACTCCGTAGTTCAATTAAACGACCTTTTTGCACAAAATATATGAAACTAAATGACACTTTTACGTCATTTTATTAGAAAATGGAATGCAAATTGACAAAGTTTATGAAATATTGCGTAGGAATTTATCTTTAGAAATTGCCCTAAATAGGAGTAAAAACGTTTTGAAATTCCAAAATAGGAATTTCATGTTTTTATTCCTTAAATATGAGTAATTCTGCCAAGTTTGAAAAAACTGTCATGTTTAATGTCTAGTAATGTCAAACTTGGCAGAAATTTACTCCTATTTAGAGAATAAAAAATATGACAGTTTTTTTTGGAATTTCAAAACTTTTACTTGTATTTAGGGAATTCTCTCTCTATCTTTAGTGTTGGATTTGGATGGACCTATGGAGTAATGGGAGACAGGAGTATATATACTTCCTCTGTCCCATAATTTACTTCCAATTTTCCCTTTTCGTCTATCCCAAAAAGAACTTCTTTTCCTTTTTTGGCAAAGAATTTGTGGTTCACATAAAATCTTACACATTCTTACATATTTCTCTCTCCCATGCACAACTCTTCACCACACAATTCTCACTTTCTTAATCCGTGTGTCATTTGTACTATGGAAATAAATTCTGGGACCGAAGTAGTATCTAATTTAATGATACTCGAGATTCTTTTAGCCGGTTTTAGGCAACTAAGAATTGAATAAAAGATTACATATTCATATTCTTTGCATACCAATTAATGGTACTCCGTACAACATATCCCCATAAATCCATATTCGCATTTTGCAAAAAAAAAAAAATCGTAGTATAATGTTGAAGTGGAGGAAACCAATCATTAAAATTCGTAGTCCTTATTGGTCCATTCATTGTCAGCATGAGTACGTGGTCAAAACCCCCCAACATTTCACGAATTAGCCAATGTACCATCGATTTTTAAAAGGTTTCAAATTACCAAAAAAAATCACTAAATAGAAACACCTATTTTGAATTCTCTAAATAGAAGTTCTAAACATTTTTTATCCTCTTATGATGATTTAGAGTTAGGGTTAGGATTTAAGGGAGACGTCTTGTGGCAAATCAAGTTGCAAAATTGTGTAACATTATACTACGAGGCTCCGAGCTCGGCCTGCTTCTAGAGATGCCTAGCTAAGATGTGAAAGCTTAGCTCATAAGCTAGGAAACTAGGCTTGTATGATGAAGTTTAACTTAAGTGATGCTTAAATTAGCTCAGAAATGGCGAGGCTTAACTCGGGTATACTGAGCTCGACCTAAACCGTAGCTGGAGTTATCTTGTCGATCTTGGAATTCTGACATTGGATTTGGCTTCAAGTCAGGTTGTTGCACAGGAATTGATCTTTACTTCAGATCGAGAACTAAGATCGGCCTTCGTCACAGTTTTGGACTTATCTCGGTGATTTGAGCACCAGGTTCAGGTCAACCTTAACAAACTAAAGCTCGACTGGATTTGCCTTAGCCAATTTCAGGGTTCCTTCTCGTGTAAATTTGGTACTCATGGGGGGGGGGGGGGGGGGGGGGGGGGTAAATGGCAATATACACCATCACCAGTATTTTCTTATAAATAGGGATCTATTTCTTTGTTCAGAAAGTATAGAGAATGAGAGCCAACTTAGGGAGTGTTTGCGATCGCTTCTACTTCAAAAAAGTGATTTTTTTAAAGTGAGTTTGGAGGAAGTACTTAGTAGTAAAAGTTTGTAGTGTTTGGTAAAATAAGTGTGTTTTGTATAATAGAAAAATAGAAAAACAGTTTAAAGCACTCTTTCACCTGCTTCCAGCTTTTAGATTTTAAATGCTTAATTTAAGCAGAAGTTGTCATTTGAAAACACTCTTTTCAGCTTTTTTAAGCCAAAAGCTGAAAAGCAATTTTTAAAGTTTTAGCAAACACTCCATTAGTGAGAGTGTATAAGTAGGGTTGGTTTAATGATTGTAACTAATTCAATTGAAAACATTTTAATACATTTATTAAGAAAAATGTTACAAAGAACAATGGGAGTAAAAGAATTGTGCAGTTTTAGTATAAAGTTATAAAAACATTAATAATTTTATTCGAGTTTTATGGATGTTTTTACGTTAACTGGTTTCATTCCTAAATCAAATCAGACTTCGACAGTTGTAAAATACATATAGACCAGAAATCTATTAAACCAAACCAGTTTAAATCAAACTTAAACAGATCACACTAAAAAATTACCGTCCAATTAGAAACACACAAATATGTTTCGACACTGTTTGGCACTATTTTGAAACTGTTTGGCACTGTTTGACACTGTTTGACATATAGATAACTTCCCATTTAAGGAAAGAGGAACTTCTTTTTTGGACTGCAAAAAAAGAAAAGCGGGAACTTCTTTGCGGGACGGAGGGAGTACATAAGAGTCATTTATCCACACTCGAAACTAAAACTTAACATGTTTTTATTAAGATAGAAGAAGGAAATCACAACTTATGTACAAGAAGACTACAAGTTGCATGGCATCCACGCATACAAGAAATTACAGCTCCAACAAGTTACCGCTTATTGTTAATTGGAATAAGATAACATTAACAATAATACTCTTAGGAAATCAAACAACTCACACAACTAACTTTAATCCATATTGCTTATCACTGATGCTGATGAATTGAATCTTCTTCTGGATGGTAATGTAGGATCTCCGACCACATCATTTCTCTGATCGTTTCCTCTGCTAAATCCTCGTCTATATCAAGATTTATAGGGACCTCAGCAGGTGGGTCACAATTCGGATCACACAAAGAAGACATGTAAGGGTGTTGAAGTGCCTCACTGACACTAATTCTCTTTGAAGGATCAAACACGAGCATCTTCTGCAGCAGATCGATCGCCAACGGATGGGCATTTGGGTAAATTCGGGAAAGTGGTATTTTTGGAGAGTAGGGAAGGGATTTAATGTACCTCTTGGCCTTAAGGTTGTCAATGAATTCAAGATCCTCTTCGCTCTGGCTTCCAAGGATGTTGATGATGAGTTTCAGTTGGTTAAGGCATTCGGTCCCTGGGAAAATTGGCTTCCTCCCCAACAACTCAGCAAATATACACCCGACCGACCAAACATCAATGGATGTTCCGTAATTGTCACAGCAGAGGAGAAGCTCTGGTGCCCGATACCAACGGGTGACCACATACTCCGTCATGAACTGGTCTTTACCACTGCTTGTGCGTGCGAGCCCGAAATCACATATTTTCAAATCACAGTTGGCATTTATTAGCAGGTTCCCGGGCTTCAAGTCGCGGTGAAGAATATTTGCAGAGTGGAGATACTTCAGGCCTCGAAGCAACTGACATTTTACATTTAAGATTAGTCACAAAAAAGTAAAAGAAAATGCAATGTGCATAGGAAAATATAGAATTTAAGACAGTAAAAAGCTAGCGAGTTCACATTATGATATACTCCTTACGAAGTATATAAAATTGAAAACTCGAGATCACATATCAAATTGCGACTTAGTACTACATGTGTCGTAAAATAATGAGCCATGTTTCACCATGGTATAACTTTTAGTGAGGTAAAATCATAAATCCTAATTAAGTGTTAAAATTTGATTGTTGGTTTAACTATAAAGTTCATATACTTAATTTGTTTGGGAAACTTTTTTTTGAGAAAAAAGATGCATTAAAATACAATGATAACTACCTTCTTTTGTTCAAGTCTGACCTTTTAGGGACAATGGTATGTGTTTAAAAAGGACCCTTCTTTATTCTATTTCCTAAATCTGTTCAACTCTTTTTTAAGCTGTTCAAAATTCTATATTTTAGGCCTATAAACTGGGTCATAAAGACTTAGGGAGTACAAGAATGCTGATGGAACCAACAGGAGAAAAAATAGTCAACATATGGTGCTTGAAGTATCTAACATGAGAAAATTAAAGAAAACACATGGACATCTATGGGAATGGGAAAATGTAAAATACCTAAGAAAGTGTACCTGGAACAAGAAATATTGGCAATGGTCACCAGTGAGGGCCTGGGAGGACTTAATGATCTGATGCAAATCCGTGTCCATAAGTTCATAAACAAGATAAACATCCCTAAAACTTCTCTTGTGAATAGGCAACATGACATCTTTAAGAGCAATCACATTCACATGTCTTAGGTGGCGAAGAAGCTTCAGTTCCCGCAAAGTCCTAAGTGCATCAACACGATTCTCAAAGGCATTGTGTATCTTCTTAATGGCAACCCTTTCGTTAGTTTCTTTGTTAATGGATGAGCACACAATGCCATATGCTCCTCGGCCAATAGGTTTGATTGGCACATACTTCGTGTCTATCTCAAACAACGTTTGCCACATTGAATAGTAATGCTTCCCAGGAGTCATAATTCCATTCGGAGGATCAACCAAGGTAGCCATTTCCTTGTATACTGTAAACTATTTAATTAATATGCAAAAATATCGGATATTGTCTCAAAACCAAAAAGAATAGTTTAAAAGATAAAGCATTTAACTGTGGGTCAATGGAGACTGGTGAAAGGTAATCAGCCAGATAGGGTATAGTAGTAGCTGAATGTACCAAAATATACTACAGAGTGTGAACTTATTAATAAAAGAGAAAAAAATGAAAAAGGGTTTATATGGTCATCGCTGCAACTTCACTAATTCCAGCAAAAAGATATTCTTAGCCTTACTTTTTATCTTTATATACCAATTCAGCTAGTTGAGTTAAGAAATTAGTGTTTGTTCAGAAAACTTATCCATATGGTTGATATGCTAAAACTTGAGGCAGCCAAAGTTGGTCAATCTAAAGGGTTCCTGATTCTACTTGGAACTTTTATTGTCTGTTTAGTCTTTACTCAGTATTGGACATCCCGCTGCAAAAAAGAATGTTCTTTGCTCTAAATCAAATCCAGATAGAATCTTCAAAAAGATACTCTTTCAAGAAAATCAAATAACCCACGCCAAAGATATCGCCAAAAGCAATATCTTTTATTGACCGTTTGAACTCTAGAATTGGAATTTAGAATTATGATTCCAATTCCAATGTAATTCTAATTTGGGTGTTTGGATTGTGAGTGCCTGAATTGAAATTACAATTCCAAGTCTAGTATTTCGAAGAAAATATTGATAATTGTTCATTAATAATTTGTATAGGAAGCTATGCGTGCAAATTTTAGTATATACAGATAAATAAGAATTTAAGAATGAAAGACAAAAAATAAAGAAGAAATTGAAAATTAACAAGTACGAAGCTTAGAGGGGATGCAAAATGGGGCATAAAAACTCGTGTGAAAAGGGATGAAGTGAAGAAAAAGCCTCACCTGAGAATTCTTGTCCTGGGCTTTCTGGGATTTTCTTAGTTCTTACAGGGTTTCAGGTCGGGTCATGGATGTGAATGGTTGGATTCACCTTGAATAGATATTTTTGGGTATGGAGCCTGAGATTGGGAATGACTCGACAATAAGAAAATAAGACGGAGTTGATGATAGAAGATCCATTACATGTCTGCAATTGTGCTCATTCAGGGATAGGGAGGAAGATGACACCTGACATGAGATACGGGGAGATAATGATGAATTGTCGACCCAGACTCCCAGAGGGAGATTAATGTCTTTTTCTTAAAGAATAATAACTTCGTATATATATCTAAAGGTTTAGCCCATAATTAGAATTATAAATCATTCATTTTCAGCAAAAATTAATTTTTGTTGGCATTATTCGTAAACATCAGCCTTTAATTCGGATGAATGTATCTGATCTGATAGAATAATAATGATTCGACCTTAAGTAAATCAAAATGAAACATTAAAAAGGAAGAACTGTCAAATAAGCCTTCGAGCTTTCACAAAAAGAGTAAATAACACCTTTTGCAGGAAGCTTTGTCCGACTGTTGCCATTTGAAACGGTTTCCGGTGGAATTTTTCGATAAAATTTTTTAAGCATCTTCTTTATTAAGTCTAGTTTATCCATATCAAATTTCAGCTTAAAATTCAATCGATAAGACAGTCAAATGATTTTCTGAAATATACTATGCTGCCTAACTGCGCAGTTATCTTCAAAAATTCATTTGACTTTCTTCCCGATTGAATGTTTAGCTGAAATTTGGTATGAGTAAACTAGACTTCATAAAGAAGATGCTCAAAAAATTTAATAAAAAAATTGCACCGGAAACCACCCCAAATAGCGACGGCCGGACAGAACCTCCTATAAAAAGGCTTATTTGCACTTTTTATGCAAGTTCGAGAGCTTATTTGATAGTTCTTCCAAAAAATAATGATTCGACCTTAGGTATTTGGGATGCACCACATAAACGTACCTTGATTTGGAGACTACAAAATGATGTGATCAATGGATACATGTCCATTATGTCAACAATTAAAATGTTGTTATTTTTTTGAAAGGAAACTATCTATATTAAAATCCAAGAAATAAATGGCATTACAAACTTTTCAATGCTATACAGTATCCTGCTACCAGACTCACCATAACTCGAGGGTCCCCTTAGCTTCTATTTGGCATACAAACGACCACCCTAACTAGAGCAGATCGGGTCGTTAACCTTGCGAGAGATTTGAAGATTAACTCGGCTTTTGAAGCCTTCTTACTTCTTTCAATTGTAAAATAAAATTATTAAAATGCAAACTAAACGAGCCTGCCACTACATGTCAAAGTCCATTATTCTTGATCCCTTCTAGTCGAGGCCTTCCATGAACAGCCAAAACTCCAACTCGTTCATTCCATGGCGGTGGTTCAGGAGGAGGTCGGGCCATCAAAACCGCTGTGATTGATACCTCATCACCGACCGAACTCTGCTCTTCACCAAACCTTTGAATGTCTTCAATCTGCTGCTTGCCGGGAACAATGCTTTTCCGCCGGCCGTACTCAACTTTTCCGATGTGATGGTACTGACAAACGCTAGACTCCCATCCGCCGCACCCAAAGCCATGGCTTCCACCAATATATTCTCATATTCTTCGTCCATCTCCATATTTTCGTAAGCCTCTGCCAACCTCTCTAACTCATCCTGTGCATTAATCGCTTCCATCCCAAACCAAACTTACACTATCTCGCAAGGTCCTACTCGCACACTATGTTTAAGAAACCGACCCGACCCGGCGGAGTTGACCCGGAACCCGGCGCCCGGACAAAAACCCGGTTCAGTTAGTTCAAAACTCGGAAAAGAGCAAAACCCGGGAAAATCCGGTTGACCCATGAAAATCCGGTCCAAACTCGGGAAAACCCGGTTTTGGATGTTTTTTCCAAAAAAATAATTTCTTTTTATAATTTTAATGCATATTTTAAACCAATAAAATTACAATTTCAATATCGTAAAAAGAAAAAATATGTAATATATTTATATATTTATTTAGTCAAAAAATTCATACCAAATTATACGGAGTATTATATATGTACAATACAAATAAAAACATCATTATATATTTTAATAGGATCAAATTATACTTTAGAATATCATGTGAGTGTATTAAATGTTTAATAAGTAAAATTCTTAGTTGATTATTATGAATAACTACTTTTTATTATAATTTTGTATATAATTATATGTTTATTATTATATGGAGATATGATCGTTGACCGGTTTTCCGGCGTTGATCGGGTTGACCCACTGGGTCCAGGTTGACCCGTGACCCAGTCATGTGGATGGGTTGCTTCCCGGTTCGGTTTTTTAAACATAGCTCGCACAGAAGAAAGCTCCTACTCGCAAGCATCCGCTGCAACAAAACTGCTCCTACCGATCGAGCGAAAAAATCTACTCCAAAGCCCCGCCCTAGAACACCCTTCTACCTCCCGTTACCAGCGAAGAAGTGATTTTGTATATATTGGTTTTCTGATTTTGTCAATAGCTTCGTTTCTAAAATTTTCGGTTGTGTTAAACTGCTTATTCCACTAAAATTTTTAGTTGTTTGAATATTTGGTTATTTACTTGACGTTTTTAAAATTTTGCCAAATTTATGGCAGTTTTGTGTTAATATTTTAAGATAAATCTGCAAACTCTTTGACTGATCTGAAACACTTGTTAATGGCAGATGTGAATCTAATCCCCAACACTAAATTTGCCAATTTAATGGCAAATTTATTCCGTCTGAGTTGTCACGGTGGATGCGGTGGATGTTGACACCAGTCAGATGGTGATTGCATGGATGGTGACACCGGTTTGGGAGGAAGCGCCACCGCCAGGGGGTGGTGATGGGTGGCGACGCTGCGCCATGAAGGATGCGGCGGCGGGCGGCGAAGGCAATGGCGCCCTCGCTTGGGGTGGCGGTGGTAGGTTGTGCAGACGAGGGGCAGTGGCAGTCAATTTTTCTTCGACAGCAGTGCTTCTCCTAGGGTTTCAATAGTTTTTTATTTTACATTTTTAAAATTTTAAAATGTAAAAGAGTTGTATTTTTGTCCAAGTGTGTTAAATATGGTCCAATGAAACTTGGGTTTCCTTGATGGTCCTAAATGTGCAATTGCTATTCCTCTTAAATAACTCATTTAATAATCTCATGGTCCCTTTTGTTGTCAAAATTGAATCTCTCAAATCTAAAAATCTCAACTACTTTGAATTACATCATGTCCGAGTAGTGTTGTATGTAATAAAAAAAGATCTGTTTTTTGGATTTGTGATTATTTAATGAGAAACGAATTTTATTCATACACTAGCTCATATTGTTCAGAACGTATGCATTATATACTCAGACAACACAAAGCAACTACTTTCAATCATATTGTTAGGTCTACTTCCTACTATTATGACTGTATGACAGAGTCATCTTTTAGCATGTTAATTAGGTTGAACAGAACAGGACCTCACTTCCCATGAGCTCCCATATTTATGAGGCACTAGTGTATGCGGTTAAATTCATACTCCATATAATAATAATAATAATAATAATAATAATAATAATAATAATAATAATAATAATAATAATAATTTTAATAATAATAATAATAATAATGATGATGATGATGATGATGATGATGATGATAATGATGATGATGATCATGATAATGATAATGATAATGATAATGATAATGATAATGATAATGATAATGATAATGATAATGATAATGATAATGATAATGATAATGATAATGATAATGATAATGATAATGATAATGATAATGATAATGATAATGATAATAATAATAATAATAATAATAGTAATGATGGATAAGTGTACCCGAGGGTATCTATCCGAGGGGTTACTGCGAGGAGTAACTAGAGAGAAGTCAGAGCAAGTAAGAGAGAGAAAGTGTATTGAATATGTAAGTTAATGCTTTTTTGTGTGTCCTTTACAACGGGGAGATGGGGTGCTATTTATAGTAGCAATAAATGCCAGACAGGGACACGTGTCAAGCATCCATTGGCCGAGGGGTCACCTCAACTGGTTGGCGCTGGCAATCGCATGTGGCCGCATTTAATGCGGCTGTTGGATGTGACGTCGTACCTGGTACGGTGATCCATGCGTAGGTGGAGCGGATAATGGATATTATGTCGGAAGAGGTGCCCTCGGCTGTAGATGATTAGCCGAGGGCTCCGAGTACCGGGGACCTCCTTAGTTCCGAGGGCTCTAGGTGCCGAGGGCTACTGATTTTCGCCGGTTTTCTCCCAATAACTTTGTTTTCCTGATTTGGCCATCCTGTGAGAATTGGAGCCTTCGGCCAGGGGGCCGAAGGCACCCCTAGTGCGCCACGTGGGTTGCTTAGTACTTGGGGCACCGTGATTTGGGCCTTTTGTGCTCCCTGGGCCTATTGGGCCTCCATTAGAATAGTAGGAGTTTATGGGCCGGGGGTTCCTGGGCCATATAATCCATCAGGAGTCCCTCACTCCTTTTGCCAAAAGGTACTTGAGGGAAAAGGAGTACTCTGTGTTTGTCCTCTGCCGTTGTTCTGTTGTAGTTTGTAGAGTTGTGAGTAGTTTGCTGTTTGTTTATTCTGCCGAGGGCAGTCCCTCAGTTACCCACATGTCGGGACTTGAGGGGTCATGTTTGCTGTCTGCAATTTTTGTGATTTTTTCCGAGGGGGGTTCTCCAGTCCCCCACTCCTTGAGGCACTTGCAAAGTGGTGAAAAGGAGTAGAGTAGTGCTTGCCTGCAATATGAAACCGAGGGGTGACGCTTTTCGTTTCATTTTGGGGGGATGCCTCGTTAAAAACCTCATTAGGAAAAACCATGTGGGAAAAAATCCTAATGAGGGAAAAAGAGTGCACCGAGTTCCCCCAACGATGAATCGAAAATGTGAAGCCCTGGTTCGAAATGGAGTACAATGCTGATGCCGAAGGCTATCCTTGTTCTGAGGGCGCGTGTGTTGATTAGCCGGAGGCTCGCTGTTGATATCCTGGGAGGTGCCGAAGGGGAGTCCCTCATTCTGGGGATCGGGGGCGTGATGAATGGGATTAGTAATTGAAGTGTTATTGGGGGGCCTGTTTGTTGATCAGTTGGTGAGGAGGGTATCCGAGGGCTCCCATTACCTGTGTGTCGTAGGCTATCCGTCAATGAGGTGTACTCCCCGGGGGCTACCTGGTCCTCAAAGTGTTGAGGGGGGAATCCCCGAGGGGTGTGCCAGTTATAAAGCCGTGGGCTTCTGAAGGAGCAACCCCGAAGGCCTCTGTGATGTAGTATGAGGG